ATATTTTTAAATATAAGAGTTTCTGACTTCAGAGACTGTTTTCTCTTCATATAAACAATTCAGAAAGCTTAGTTAATCCAGTATCTCATAATGTAAGAGGTTAAATTAGAAGGAAGCATTGCTGCTGTAGAACAGTGGTGGTAAAATTAACAACACGAATACTACACTGGGCTGTTTGTGTCATTGAAAGCTCTAAAAGGTTTGCCACCACTGCCCTAGAAAGCCATAAATCCTAACTGCAAAAGTATAAACAGAAAAGTAATAAAATTTAGAAAGTATTCATGTATTTAGTTATCCAATTCAAAATATAATAGCCTTTAGGGCATTAATTTCTTAGCGTCCTTACAGTGCAGTAATTAACACTCTAAATAGAAAACAAATAATCAAAAGTGGTTATGTTTACTGAGCATAGTGGTGTACACCTGTAATCATAGCATTTGGGAGGCTGAGGCAGGAAGATCACCAGGAGTTCAAGGCCAGCCTGGGCTACATAGCAAGTTAACGCCAGTCTGAATGCCTAGCAAGGTCTGACTCAGAAAAACACCACCAATAAAAAAGTAGTTACATTATAGTTGTGTATGTTCCTCATACAAAAGCAAGAAAGTAAGCTTTCCCTTTGCAAGGACGCAACCCTGCACCCATAACTTAAAAAAGGAGTTTAATTTGGTTCAGTTTCAAGGGATTCAAAATGTGTGCAAGCTCCAGAGTAGAAACATCATGGTGGAAGCATGGTGGAGTAAATACACTTATTTCATGGTAGCCATGAAGCAGAACAGGGAAACAGTGCCAGAGAAGGAGTGAGGGACCAGACATATTCCAAGGCCCTGCCTGCACAACCTTCCAGACACACCAGAAGTGTGCTCCACCAGGCCCCCAGCTGGATCCTGAAACCAACCAGTCAAGTTGATACAGTCAAGTGAAGCCATCACATTATTCCATTTTAGAAAGATTTACTTAAAATTTAACAGACACTAGACAGGTCAGGGATATTGCTCAGTGGCGCCATGCCTGCCTCACAAGTGCAAGGTCTTGAGTTGAGTCCCTGGTACGAAAAAAAAAGAGTCATTAGAATGTGTAGACGTGTCTCATTCTATTATGATACTGGATGCATGGAATACAGTATATTTATCTCTGCAAAGGTGACATGTTTTTCAACAGTGTAGGAAACAAATTAACTGATTTAGTGTAATGAAAAACGTAATGAATACTTGTCATTTTGCATTCTGAAAACTATACTACTATTAAAATGTACATGTAGTTATATATGAATTTGAATTTTCTTATTACCGTGATATTTACTTATGCTAGTAAGTAGATTGATGGGTAAGAAATTTGTAGATCTCGTTTTCTTCTTTCTGTTCTCTTTTAATTGAAGAACTCTTTTTTTCCCCCCTTCTGGTTTAAGAACTTGTGAAAATTGATTTCTAGTTTTGAACCTCAAGACTAGAAACTATTTTGTGAAGGAGAAAAAGATAACCAGGAATTACTGTTACTAAAAAGAAAAGGAACTAATACACTCAATTTAATAAAAAGCCCCAGAAAATAGTTTATTTACAGAACAGATATTCCTTGAGTTTATTGTTGTTGTTGTTTGTTTGTTTGTTTTTGTTTTTGTTTTTTGAGACAGCGTCTTACTATGTAGTTGAGACTGACCTGGAACTCACTATGTAGCTCAGGCTGGTCTTGAACTCACAGAACTCCTCCTGCCTCAGCCTCCCAAGTGCTGAGATTACAGGCGTGTGCCACCACACCCAGCTAAGAGTTTATTGTTAATGGGAATGTGGTATACTAAGATTGGGAGAGTACTATTTTCAAAATGGAAAGAGTAAGAGTAATTGAGCAGAATCATCAAAGGAAGAAGCTCTGACCTCAGTTTGTTGTATGATCATACTTAGTTCACCTAATTTCTCAGTCTTACTGTGTAACAGTGTTGCCGTTTTTGGAAGCTGAGAATGTAATGAAGCTAGTTTATCTTTCTGAGACTTTTTTTTTTCCCCCTGGTACCAAAGATCGAACTCCAGTCCTTGCACTTGTGAGGCAGGCGGTGGCACCACTGAGCTAAATCCCTGGCCCTAAAGTTAGTTTATCTTTTTCATAAATTGAAAACAGTTTAGAAAGACATAGCCAAGTCATTTACTAACTTAATTAAGACCTGCAGGTTACAAATGCAGGCCTTCAAGAAGTGAATTTTAGTATTTTGTGTAATTAGCTGGTAGGAATATTAGCATGGCTCTCTAAATTGAAAGTACATGGACCGGGGATTTAGCTCAGTGGTTTGGTGGCATGCCTTGCAAGTGCAAGGACCTGAGTTCGATCCCCGGTACCAAAAAAAAAAAGGAAGCAAAGAAAGTACATGATTTCAGAGGCTTGATTGGGAACCCAGGGTACTCTGGAGTCTCTTTACTACTAAAAGCCTAGGCTTAGGCAACATCCTAATTGTATGGAATTTGTAAGGGAGAATGAGGCATTCTGAATTGATGGCCCTAATATGGGACCTCAGAAAATGTGGAATTCCTCAAAAGAGAGGAGAGCTGCTATTCTTCCCATTAGAAGGATGAAAAATAGAAAAAGCATTCTAATAAAAAATAATAGTGTTAACATAGTTACAAAGAGTATTTATCAGGGCTGGGGATTTAGCTCAGTGGTGCTGCCGCTGCCTGCCTTGCAAGCACAAAGACCCGAGTTCAATCCCTGGTACGAAAAAAAACAAATCAAAATCAGATGGAATTTAGATTATTATGGAAATTCAAAATGCTGTACATGAAATATAAAAATTCTAAGGCAGGCGATTGAATTGTTCTTACCAGTCTTTTTCTTAAGCATTTCAAGAGTGACCAAAGTGTACCTTTTGTACTTTATATCTGCCTTAGGCATCTTCCTCTTAATAGTCCTACTTGAAGATGAATAAATTCAAGCTCAAAGAGCTAAAATAAGTTATATTTAAGATTATGTAACTAGTATGGAACCAAAATTTGATGTCTGAATTAAAGACAAAACCCAGCTTTTCTTTTTTCTTTTTTTTTTTTGTGGGGGGGTACCAGGGCTTGAACTCTGGACCTTGTGCATGCGAGGCAGGCAGTGAAACCACTGAGCTAACTCCCCGGCCCATAGCTTTTAATACCAACATTTCTCAATGACTGTCATTGAAATACCACTAAAGGCAGAAGATAGTATGAATGGATGCCTGGGAGATTTGTTAACATATATTCAGTACCTACATTATTTACTGTTCTATAATGTACTGATAGGTCTTTTTCAAATGCTGAAATTGTTTTGCTTTATTTTGTTAATTCAAACTTAGAATTAAATTGTGTAGAAGATCCATGGCATATTATCTCAGGAATGGGAAAAATGGCACACCGTGCCATATTATCTGGATGACTGACCCAGTGTAAATTACCTCATTCTGGTCCAAACAGCTCTTAGAGTCTCCAGCATTTCCTCAGTATAAGCCAAGGATATTTCTTACTGTTATTTCCTCTGAAAATTTCTAATTATCGTGAATTAGCCCACAGCAATGATCTTTCTCTACATCTAGATTCTTTTTTTTTCCATCTAGATTCTGATTGACTTAACAAATAATGTACTCTAAATTTATATAGCTTGGAAATAGTATGTAATTACTGTTATAATTAAAACTATATTTTAAAAATAGTCTTTTTGTTGTTGTTATTGTTGTTGTTTACCTAAGGGCATGTATAATATTGGGTATGTGCTTTATAGAAACGTACTATTTATTTATTTATTTTGGTATTGGGGATCAAACTCAGGACCTTGTGCTTGCTCGGCAGGTGTGGTGCCACTGAGCTAAATCCTTGGCCCTATATTTTAAAAGAGACATTAGGGTGTAAAATTGAGAGAGAAGGAGCAGCAAATCTTTTTGCTTATTATGTAGTGGTATTGCCATTTGTGGGGGTGGGGAGAGTTTAATAATAAGGACATAAATTTTAAAAAGCTAGGCATAGTGTCATATGGCTTTAATCCCAGCACTCTGTAGGCTGAGGAACAAGGATAGCAGTGAGTTGGAGGCCACCCTGGGTTACATGCAAGATCCTGTCTCCAAAAAAAGTCAAGAATGTTTTCTAGCTGTGCCTGGTGTTGCTCTCCTATAATCCCACCGTTCTGGAGGCTGAGGCAGGAGGATTGCCATGAGTTCAGGGGCCAAGCTGGACTACATAGTAAGTTCAAGATCAGACTGACCTACACAGCAAAACCCTATCTCAAAAACTTCACAACAGAAAAAAAATATTTTCTAATCAATGGTGTGAAAGAACATGTTTCTCTGTCTCTGATACAAAAAGCAAAATAGAAAAAATGTTTTGTTTCATAGAGAAGTATGATCATTATTTGGTAATTAAGGATCACTTAAATAGTTTGTTCTCTTGCAAGTTTCCAGATAAATCTAAAAAATCAAATATTTCAGCACCATTTTGGTGAGAAAATCAATTAAACTGATGGTATAAAAATGGGGGAAACATTTTATTATTTTAAATTATTTGGCAAATTTAAAGCTTAGTTTTGTTTGTTTGTTTGTTTTTTGGTACAGGGGATTAAATGGGACCATGTGCTTATGAGGCAGGTGGCAGAACCACTGAGCTAAATCCCTGGCCCAAAACTTACTTTGTTTGTTTGTTTGTTTGGTACCAGGGATCAAACTTGGGACCTTGTGCTTGCGAGGCAGGTGGTGGCACCACTGAGCTAAATCCCTGGCCCCCAAAACTTACTTTAAATTAGTTACATTAAAGCCAGGAATTTAGCTCAATGACACCATGCCTGCCTTGCAGAGGTCCTGAGTTTCATCCTCAGTACAGCCAAAAATCAAAACAAAAGATAAATTAGTTACAATAGCTGTAAAAGTCTTTGTAGATGTTAATCTGTGTAAACACAGAGTTATTTAAGTTTTTGTCATCTTTTAAAAGGCTTATCTGGTATAATTTTTCTTACCAAAAAGTTTCTTTTTCAAGTAGTTTATTTTTAAAATACTTTGTTTTACTTTTCAGATGATAGCATTTCTGCTGCAAGTACTTCTGATGTTCAAGATCGCCTATCAGCTCTTGAATTACGAGTTCAACAGCAAGAAGATGAAATCACTGTGCTAAAGGCAGCTTTGGCAGATGTTTTGAGGCGTCTTGCAATCTCTGAAGATCATGTGGTCTTAGTGAAAAAATCAGTCCCAAGTAAAGGTAATTAAGTGGGTTGTAAAATAGCAAGTCTTGCTTTTTGCAACATTTTCTTGGAAATATAAAATTGTTTTCTCTTTTGGATTATTTGTAGTTATAATTTATTTCTTTATTCTCAATGCTAAGAGCTGGGCATGGTGGCACACACCTGTAATCCCAGCACTAGGGAGGCTGAGGTAGGAGGATCGCTGTGAGTTTGAGACCAGCCTGGGCTACATAGTGAGCTCCAGGTCAATCTCAACTACATAGTGAGACCCTGTCTCAAAAAAAAGCTGGGGATTTAGCTCAGTGGTTCTGCAGCCTGCCTCATAAGCACAGGGACCCGAGTTCAATCCCTGATACGGACAAAAAAAATGCTGCAAATCTGTCACACATTGCAGTTACAGGCTCTTACACCATACTATTTGTGTGAGGTTAAAATCTCCTAATTAGAGAATATATTTGCTGAGATAATAGATTTTCTGAATCTTTTTGTTTCTCTCATTCTGTCTTAAACATAGCAAGTAGATACATTTAAAATCAATTGTATTTTTACAGAAACATGATTAAAATTATAGTTTAAGAAGCTTCATTTTAAGCCCTCTGTAATCACTAGTCAGCAGAAGCCTGGAAAAATTAACCTGAGCTCTAACATATTGCCAACCCCAGTACAATGGGAATTACAACCTCCAGATAACTGGGACTTTTCAAGATTGAAAGAAACAGCCCTTAGGACCCTGTTATAAGTTAAAGCATATATGGTCATTTTCTTCCTTCAACCACCAAGAAAGAATTTACAGTTCTTCCAAATCATGCATTTGAATATGTCATTTCACATCTTTTATTGAATTCTTGGTAGACTAGATAAGGACTGGCATGATTACCTTTATTTCAACAGTAGGAAAAGTAAGGATGTGCATTTGCTTTATCTCCCTGCTACACTATGTAAATATAAATTATTAATCTAGTGAGGAATCTGCATACCTCCTAGATGCTAACTAGGTAAAAGACATTATAGTTAACCAGGATGTGGGAAGCAAATCAGGCTTTGAATGTTGTGTTTGAGGTATACATGATGTGTGAGTAGGTACATGCAGATAGCTGAAGGCAGTTTAGTACTCATGTAAGTTGGTACTGTTCAGGTTATGGATGAGAATTAAGCAATAGAAAGAGGATGTAAAATGAGAAGAAAGCCTAACATAGTTCCATCTGGGAGCTCCAGTATTGCAGCATAACAGAGTGATTCCTGTTGCCAGCTGCTACAAGAAGAGGTCAGATAAACTGAAGACTGAGAAGTGACCATTTGATACTTATCTTAGTAACATCTTTAGAAGCTATTTAGTGGAGTATTGGGATTGAGAGTCAAATTATAGTGTTTTGAGAAGAATTATAGAATTTTTCAGCAGCAAATATAGCCACTCTTAAAAAACATTTCAGTGGGGAAGATTGGTAGTGGCTAGAAGAGTGTGATAAATTGAAGGCCAGTTTTAAATTGTAATATTTATTTTGTTACTCGTTCTTGGAATCAAACTCAGGGACTTACACGTGTTAACAGGAGCACTCTGCTGTGAGCCACACCCCTAGCCTCCTGTAATTTTTATTTTTTAAGATAATACAGATTTGTTGACAGAAAGACAGGAAAATGATGTTGAGGGTGGGTAGTAATTGGTGAAAGAACATTCCTGAGAGCTTGAAGGGATTTTAGAGCAGGCAGGAAACTATTAATCTTAGAAATAAGATTATTATTTGAGATAGAAGAAGAGAGGAACACTCAAAGGTCTAAATATTCAGTTTTCAGGGCTAGAAGTTTCAGTCCTTCTTTGAGGAGACAGTGGTAACTCAGAGATTAAGATGGGTTTTGGGTGGTGGAAAAAAGTTTCAACATTTGGACTTGTTAGAGTGGAAAATGGAAAACCATAAATACATGGAAGTAGAGCTGAGTGACCTTGAGTAGAGGAAAATGAGAAACTGGTTGGGGACAAACGGAGGAGCATAGTTCTGCCTGGTTTTGTGACTCTGGCTCTTTTCCCTCATGTCTTCAAGCATGGGCCTAGGTGTTAATAATAGAGATTTAGACTTTTCCATTAATGGTGGTAAGATAAATACACCAATAACAAAGGATAAGAGTCTTGACAGTTTGGCAAAAGGCTTTTGGTAGAAATCATTTTGGATAATGCTTTATTCTTGGTTTTACAATTTCTTTTTTAACCAACTTTGAAGATCGAGCTGGAAAAAAAATTGATTTTCTTAAAGGGTTTTAGAACTGTTAGGGTAAAATGAGGAGCCAGGTCAGTTAACATGTATGGGCAAAGCTTTGTAAAGAGGAAAGAACAAGTTTCTGTAATTTATAATGTATACATGTTATAATATGTGACACACAAATTCTACCCAAAACATGTATACACACTTGAGGAAAATTTAAAATTGTGTATTTTAATATTAAATTAATCTGTTTGTTTGTTTGTTTGTTTTCTGAGACAGGGTCTCACTGTATGGTCCAGGCTAGTCTCTCACTACATAGACCAGACTGGCCTTGAACTCATAGCAATCCTCATGCCTCAGCCTCCCAAGTGCTGGGATTATAGGCTTGCATCCCCCCAGTTTAATAATAAATTTATTGAGACATCCTGAGATTAATACAAGTTACCTTTGGCCTCTACAATTAAAAGAGGTGCTCCAAGTGGTGGTCATTATCTTCCAGGCATTTATTAGCATGGTGAACTGCTGCCTGAATAACCTTGCTCATTGAGGCTGCTGCACATGCATTTTCAATTTCTTTAAGGGCCAGCAATGCAGTGGGTTTTCTGTGTTCTAAGACACTGTCTGGGGTCCCCCATATGAAGATAACACCTCTGGTAAAAAAGCATCATATTTTTTGGTGGGGTTGCTAGGGATCGAACCTTGTACTTGCAAGGCAAGGAGGTGGCAAGACTGAGCTAAATCCCCGACCCTATTTTTACTGAAGTGTATATACATTTTTGGTGGAATTAAAAAAAAAAAGCCATACAAATATGTGTATATATCCTCAGCTTCTGAATCTTTTATGAAGTCCTGCAGTGGAAAGTGATATAGTATTTGCTTACTAGCGACAATATTTTAAAATGTATTTTAAAATTAGAGTAATCGTACATATTTGTAAGGGTACAATGTGCCATTTGAGCATTTCAGCACATGTAGAAACTGTGTAATGGTCTGGCTAGGACAAACTGGCATATCTGTCATCTCAGACACCATTTCTTCATATTAGGAGCATAAATCCTCTCCATAGCAGTTTTGAAATAACTCATTGTCATTAAACATTAAAATTCTCCTTCTGTCCTATAGAGCATTAAAATTATTCCTCCCATCCAGCTGCAGCCTTGTACCTGTTAACCATCCTTTCCCCATCCGTTTTTCCCCTACACCCTTCCCAGGCTCTGGTAACCACTACTCTTTTCAACTTTTTAGCTTCTACGTATATGTGAGAACATTTGGTGTCTTTCTGTGCCAGGGATTGAACTCCAGTCCTTGTGCTTGCAAGGCAAGCGGCAGCACCACTGAGCTAAATACCAGTATTTCTCTCCCCCTCTCCCCCTCTCTCCCTCCCCCCGCCCTTGAGACAGAGACTCACTGTGTAGTTGAGGCTGACATGGGACTCACTATGTAACCCAGGCTGGTCTTGAATTCACAGTGATTCTCCTGCCTCAGCCTCCTGAGCGCTGGGATTACAGGTGTGCTCCACCACACCCAGCAAGGGGCCAAATATTTTTGCTGGAGGAAGACAGCCTCTCTTTTGTTTTCTTTCTTTTTTGTATCGGGGATCAAACTTAGTACCTTGTGCTTGTAAGGCAGGTGGCAGAACCACTGAGCTAAATCCCCAGCCCTTTTTGATAATAGCTGTTCTGATGCAGTGAGATGATGCCTCATTGTGGTTTTGATTTGCATTTCTCTGATGATTAATGATGTTGAGCATTTTTTTATTATTATTTTTCTCACTGAGTTTATTGGTACATTTTAGGTATACAGTACAGTTACATTCATCATTGGGATCTTGATGTTGAGCATTTTTTTATTATTATTTTTCTCACTGAGTTTATTGGTACATTTTAGGTATACAGTACAGTTACATTCATCATTGGGATCTTGATGTTGAGCATTTTAAAAACAGTTTTTCAAATAGTTTTGTTGTTCCTTAAAAATATTTTAAATATTTTCTTACACTTAAACAGCATAATTTTGTGTTACTTAATAATTTAAACAGTTTTCCCCCAAAGTTTTCTTTCGTAAGGTATTTCAGTGAGGAAAAGTCCTGAAACATTAAAGGGAAATTCAAAGACTGCTTTTATTTTTTTTTATTTTATTATTTATTCATTTATTTATTTATTTATTTTGGGTACCAGGGATTGAACTCGGGTCCTTGCGCTTGCAAGGCAGGCCACCGAACCACTGAGCTAAATCCCCAGCCCAGACTGCTTTTATTTTTTAATTCCACAGATAGACCACAGGTTGTGTAACACATCAGTTAGCACCTTCCTCTCAATGTCATGAGATACTGTTAAATAGTTATAGTTCTGTTCCCAGCGGCAAGTTGTCTTTTTTAATCCTTTCCTTACTCATAATTCCTTTGTCTCTAAAGTAAGACTAGGATTCACTTTGTTAATGGTTTTTCAGTGGAGAATTACTGTACACATTTCTGGGGCAACAGAGCCACCTGTAGCTGTTGCATTAGCACTTAAATGGCTTCACTGCTGGCATTTGTGTATATCTTAAATTAGACCAACTAATTTAGTTGTCAGTTGTGAGTTTTGACATTAAACATGATAAATATATTAATGGTATAAGAATTTGGAATAAACACTAAGCAAAGTATTTTCAAATAAATGGGATTTTTCATAAACTTAAATGCAGTTATTTAATAGGGTTTTATATTCTATCAATTATAATATTACATAAAAATTATATAATTTTTTCTGTAGAGTTCAGACTAAACCCCTATGGATAGATAGGGAAAGTCCTTTTATGAAGCTGTAGTTACAAAGATGTAT